CCCCTCTAGACACAGTCTCTCTCTGTGACCCAGGCTAGAGTACAGTGGCACAATCACAACTCACTGTAGCCTCAACCTCCTGGGCTCAAGAGATCCTCCTATCTCAGCCTCCTGTGTAGCTGGGACTATAAGTATATGTTATTACAGTCAGCTAATTTTAATTTTTTTTTTTTTTGTAGAGAAGGGGTCACACTTTGTTGCCCAGGCTGCAGTCAAACTCTTATGTGCAAGCAATTTTCCCACCTTGGCCTTCCAAAGTGCTGGGATTACAGGCATGCACCACCATGCCCAGCCAAAAAAAGGCAAATCTGAGAGTAATTAGAATTAAAAAGGAGGTACAGAAAGAGACTGGGGTAGTAAGTTTATTCAAAGAGATAATAACAGAGAGCTTGCCAAACCTAGAGAAAGATATATTCAAGTACAAGAAGGTTATTGAACACCAAGCAGATTTAACCTAAAGACTATCTCAAAGCATTTCATAATCAAACTCCCAAAAGTCAAGAATAAAGAAAGGATCCTAAAAGCAGCAAGAGAAAAGAAACAAATAGAGATCCCACATGTGTGGCAGTAGAAATTTTTTCAGTGGAAATCTTACACGGCAGGAGAGAGTGGCATAAAATATTCAAAGTGCTAAAGGAAAAAAAAAGCTTTCACCCTAGAACAGCATATCTGGTGAAAATATCCTTTAAGCATCAAGAAGAAATAAAGATGTTCCCAGACAAACAAAAGCTCAAGAACTGCATCAACACCACATTTATCCTAGAAAAAATGCTGAGGGGGAGCCAGGCACAGTGGCTCAGTCCTGTAATCCAGGTACTTTAGGAGACAAAGGTGGACGGATCATCTGAGGTCAGGAGTTTGAGACCAGCCTGGCCAACATGGCGAAATCCCATCTCTACTAAAAATGCAAAAATTAGCCGGGCATAGTGGCAGGTGCCTGTAATCTTAGCTACTTAGGAGGCCGAGGCAGGAGAACTGCTTGAACCTGGGAGGCAGAGGTCACAGTGAGCTGAGATTACACCATTGCTCTTCAGCCTGGGCAACAAGAGTGAAACTCCATCTCAAAAAAAAAAAAAAAAGGAAATGCTAAGGGGAATTAATCAATCAGAAAGAAAAAGACATTAATGAGCAATAACAAATCATCTGAAGGTACAAAACTCACTGGTAAAGTAAGTACACCAAAAAGCAAAGAATATTATTATGACATTTATAATAATAATGTGTAATTGTGGTGTATAAACTACTCCAGTCCTCAGAAGAACGACTACAAGATAAACAATTCAAAAATAATAACTACAACTTTTCAAGACACAGATAGCACAATGCGTTATAAAAAGAAACAACAAGTTAAAAAGCTGGGGGGGAGGGGGAAATGGGTGGTGGTCAAAGTTTTCATTAGTTTTCTTTTTGCTTGTTTGTTTATAAAATTATGTTAACTTGCCATGAGTTTAAAATAATGAGTTATAAGATAGTATTTGCAAGCTTCATGGTAACCTCAAATCAAAAAACATACAAGGAATATAAAAAAAGTAAACTTAAGTCATATCACCAAAGAAAATTATCTTCCCTAAAAGGAAGACAGGAAAGGAAGAAGACCAGAAAACAGCAAGCATGTAGAAGAGAACCCTGAAACACTGCTGCTGGTGGGAAGGTGAATTAGTACAACCACTATGGAGACCAGTTTGGAGGTTCCTCAGAAAGCTACCGTATGAGCTACCATATGATCCAGCAATCCCACTGCTGGGTATATAACACCCAAAAAAAGGAAATCAGTATACTAAAGAGATATCTGTACTCCTATGTTTGTTGCAGCACTATTTACAATAGCTAGTATTTGAAAGCAACCTAAGTGTCCATCAACAGACAAATAGATAAAGAGATGTGATACATATACACAATGCAATACAAAAAAGAATGAGATCTTGTTATCTGCAACAACATGGATGGAACTAGTGGTCATTATGTTAAGTGAAATAAGGCAGACACAGAAAGACAAACTTGAACTCATGGAGACAGAGAGTAGAAGGATGGTTACAACAGGCTGGGAAGGGTAGTGGGAAGTAAGAGGAAAGGGGATGGTTAATGGGTACAAAAAATATATAAAGAATAAGACCTAGTACCTGATAGCACAATAGGGTGACTATAGTCAATAATAACTTACTTGTACATTATCAAATAACAAAAACTGTACAATTGAACTGTTTGTGACATAAAGGATGAATGCTTGAGGTAATGGATACCCCACTTACCCTGATGTGATTATTACATACTGCATGTCTGTATCAAAACATATCATATACCCTATAAATATATAAACCTACCATGTATCCACAAAAATTTTTAAAATAAACAAAAAATAGTTAAGTAATATTACAAGGTACAAGGTCAATATATAAAAAATAAATTATATTTCTATATTCCATAATTGAACAATCAAAAAATGAAACTAGAAAACAATTCTATTTACAAAAGCACCAAAAAAGAATAAAATACTTTGGAATAAATTTCACCAAAAAAAAGCAAAATTTGTATGCTTAAAACTGTAAGACACTGTTGAAAGCAATTTTAGGACTGGGTGCTGTGGCTCACACCTGTAATCTTAGCACTTTGGGAAGCCGAGGCGGGCAGATCACCTGAGGTCAGGAGTTCAAGACCAGCCTGACCAACACAGAGAAACCTCGGCTCTACTAAAAATACAAAATTAGCCAGGCATGGTGGTGCATGCCTATAATCCCAGCTACTCGGGGGGCTGAGGCAGGAGAATCACTTGAACCCAAGAGGCGGAGGTTGTGGTGAGCCAAGATCATGCACTCCAGCCTGGGAAAGAGAGCAAAATTTCATCTCAAAAAAAAAAGAGGCCAGGCATGGTGGCTCATGCCTGTAATCCCAACACTTTGGGATGCTGAGGCGGGCAGTTCACCTGAGGTCAAGAGATCGAGACCAGCCCGGCCAACATGATGAAACCTTGTCTCTACTAAAAATCCAAAAAAAAAAAAAAATTATCTGGGCATGATGGCACACACCTGTACTCCCAGCTACTCGGGAGGCTGAGGCAGGAGAATCACTTGAACTCAGGAGGCAGAGGTTTGCAGTGGGCCAAGATCACACCACTGCACTCCAGCCCAGGTGACAGAGGGACACTCCATCTCAAAAAAATAAAAAATAAAAAGGATAGTAGTTTTAAAAGACCTAAGTAAATTGAAATATTCATGTTCGCAGATCAAAAGATTTAATATTGTTAAGAAAAAAAGATTCTCCAATTTGATCTACAAATTTAACACCCATATTAACATCTCAGCTTTTTTATAGAAATTGACAAGCTATCCTAAAATCTATATAGAAAAAGGAAATGAAATAAGTTGAAAAGAAGCACAAAGTGAGAAGATTCACACTTTCTGATTTCAAAACGTACTTAAAAGCTACAGCGATCAAGACACTACAGTAATAACCTATGCACAAACATAGAAATCAATGGACTAGACTAGAGGAACCAAATATAAATCTTCACATTTACGGTAAAGTGATTTTCTATAAGGTGCCAATTCCATTCCCTGGGGAAAGAAAAGTCTTATCAACAATTGGTCCTAGGACAACTGGATTTCCACATGCAAAAGAATGAAGCAAGATGCCTTCCTTAGATCATACACAAAACATTAACTATAAATGGATGATATACCTAAATATCAGATCTTAAACTATAAAACTCTCAGAATAAAACATACAAGTAAATCTTTGTAATCTTGGCTTAGGCCATGGTTTCTTAGCTACAACAACAAAAGCACAAATGACAAAATAAAAATACGTTAGTTGGATTTCATCAAAATTTAAAACCCCCACGCTTCAACAGATACCATCAAGAAAGTGGAACAGGAGTGTATATTTACAAATCATATATATATGACAAGGAACTTCTGGATAAAGGACATAAAGAATTTTTACAACTCAATAATAAAAAGACAAAGCAACAAAAAATCAACAAAGGATTTGAATAGACAATTCTCTAAGAAAAATGTAGAAATATCCAATAGGTGCATGAAAAGATGTTCAATATCATTAGCTATCAGGAAAATTCAAATCAGAACTACAATGAGATAACTATTTCACACCACTAGAATGTCTCTAATCAAAAGACAGATATGTAGTTTAGCACTAAAGTGCTAACTGAAACCTTAAATGGTGCAACAATTCAACGTGGTTCATCCCTTGCTACCTGAAACGTTAAATGGTGAAACTACTGTGGAAAAGAGTTTGGCAGTTCCTCAAAAGGTAAAACATAGAGTTAGCATATGATCCAGAAATTCAACTCCCAGCTATATATCCAACAGAAATGAAAACATATGTTTATGCAAAAACTTGCATATGAATGTTTGATGCAACATTATTCACAGTAGCTACAAAGTGGAACCAACCCAAATATACATCAATAGATGAACAGATAAATAAAATGGGATAGTATCTATACAATGGAATATTATTTGGCAATGAAAACGAAGTACCAATACGGGCTACAACATGGATGAACCTTGAAAATGTTTTACTAGGTGAAAAGAGACCAAACACAAAGATCACACTGTATGACTTCATTAATATGAAATGCTCAAAATAGGCAAATCTATAAAGTAGATTACTGGTTGACTGGGGCTGGTAAATGTGGGGAGAAATTAGGAATGACTGTTAGTAGATACTGGATTTCTTTTTGTGGTGATGAAAATGTTCTAACATTGATTGTAGTGGTGCCTGCATAACTGAATGTACTAAAAACAATTAAATTGTACAGTTTCAATGGGTGAATTCTTTGGTTGTTAAGTGTAGTCAAAAAAAGTTTTTTTAAAAACATTAATACAGCATGACTTACAATCATCTAAAGATCAGTTATCATAAGCTTCCCCAAAATACCCTGTTCATTTGTTATAAATCCTGAAAATGATGGTAGAATTTATTTTGCCCCCCAGTTTCCTAGAATTTCAGGCAGTAAAATCTTTCAGAGCCAGTTAGAAGAAATGAAGAAAAACACCTTTTATTTTTCATTCCAGTTCATCCATAATAGAGGTAAATTTCTTGTTAATTCAGCTGATATCCTCTAAGCTACACAGAAAAACAAGGCGTGTGGCTCTCTAACCTCAATCATCTTATTTGAAGACATGGTAAAAATTAGGGTTTTCCAAATAAAGAAAAAAATTACGTGTGTGTGTGTACACAGTTTTTTAAGATGGGATCTTCCTATGTTGTCCAGGCTGGAATGCAGTGGCTATTCACAAGCACAATAATAGCACATTGCTGGCCGAGCTTCCGGCTCTTAATGCTAGGGGCTTAAGCTGAGGCAGTCGACGACGCGATGGTGTTGACGACGTGACGGTGTTGTTGGAGAGTGAGCAGTTCCTGACGGAGCTGACCAGACCCTTCCAGAAGTGCCGGATGTCGGGAAGCGTCTATATCACCTTGAAGAAGTATGATGGTTGAACCAAACCCATTCCAAAGAAAGGTACTGTGGAGGGCTTTGAGCCCGCAGACAACAAGTGTCTTTTAAGAGCTACCGATGGGAAAAAGAAGATCAGCACTGTGGTAAGCTCCAAGGAAGTGAATAAGTTTCAGATGGCTTATTCAAACCTACTGAGAGCTAACATGGATGGGCTGAAGAAGAGGGACAAAAAGAAAAAAACTACGAAGACCAAAGCAGCAGCAGCAGCTCCAGCAGCACCAGCACCAGCTCCAGCAGCACCAGCAGTACCACTGCCAGCAGCAGCAGCAGTACCACCGCCAGCAGCAGCACCACCACCAGTAGCAGCAGCAGCATCAACAACAACAATAGCAACAGCAGCAGCAGCAGCAGCAGCACAGTAAAGGATACAAATTTCTTGCTTTTACCAATTAACCACTGAGTTGCTATTTTTTTCCTTTGGTTTTTACTTTTGGCCACATAGCTAGGCTTCTGGTTCCCCCACAGTAGGTGTTTTCACATAAAATGAGGGTCCTTTTGGAAAGAATAGTTGCAATGTTTATAGGGTAGTTGTAGTAAGAACCTAGTTTATTTTACATTTGGTTAATTGGTCTGTGCTGCATGGTTATATACTCCTGGATTATAGATTAAAAGTCTCTGTAGTCATCTCTGAAGAGCAAGCTATCATTAAACATGTCTGTTTATCCAAAAAAAAAAAAAAAAAGCACATTGCTGCCTCAAACTCTTGGCCTCAAGCAATCCTCAGCCTTCCAAGTAGCTGAAACTATAGGCACAAGCCATCGCACCCAACTAATATTTTACTTTTAAAAAAAAAAAAAAAAAAAGCTGTATCTGATATTGTGGTTCATTTTATTCCGTAACTTGGAAAAATATCACTTCTGCTTCTAAATGCATTGTGATAATTTTTTTTTCATTTTTCTCTTATCAAAAATTCCTGCTAGTGGGCCAGGTATGGTGGCTCACACTTGTAATCTCAGCACTTTGGGAGGCTGAAGCAGGTGGATCATTTCAGGTCAGGAGTTTGAGACCAGCCTGGCCAACATGGCAAAACCCTGTGTATACTAAAAATACAAAAACTGGCTGGGTGTGGTGGCATCTCCTGTAGTCCTAGCTACTTGGGAGTCTGAGACATAAGAATCACTTGAACCTGGAAAGCAGAGGTTGCAGTGAGCCAACATCATGCCACCGCACTCCAACCTAAGCAACAGGGTGAAACACTGTCTTAAAAAAAAAAAAAAAAGAAAGAAAAGAAAGAAAAAAAGGAAAATTCCTGTTGGTAGATATTTCAGATATTTCCTGGGTTTTTGTTGTTGTTGTTGCAAATATTACTGCAAATTAATTAAAGTTGGAAACACCCAGAAAATTTCTTAGAAATGGCAATATACAAATTAGGACTGAAATAGTGACCATGATTTAGACTATAAAAAGTCAAATGGGAAATGTAGTTCAGGAAATAGAGCAGAATAGGGAAAAAAAAAAAAAAAAGGGGGTATGAGGTACAGTTAAAAAAAAAAAAAAGCAAATGTCTCCAAAATCAAACTCTATGTGCCAAGTAGTGAGAGATGGCATGCCAAATTATCTTCGGCTAGTCCTCTGCTCAAGAAACTAAAAAGCCCAAACTCCTTGAATTAATTTGTGTCAACACAAGGTTACAATTTTTGAAAACCAAGATCATGAACACAACAGTTTAAAAAGATTAATTTGCTGGTGCTAGGTAAGCAAGTATGTTCAGTTTGTGAAAATTCATCAAGCTGAGCACTTATGATTTGTACATGTGTGTATGTTATAGTTTAATAAAAAGACAGAGACACAAAGATAAATTTTGATTTGGCAGCTAATGAGACATAAGAACTCATTATAGCAATATAGCTTGAGAAATGAAAATCTAAAATTGACAATGTCAATGAGAATTAAAATGAAAGATTCTTAACCTAGTGAATGGATTTAGTCAACAAAAGAGACAATTCAATGTGATTTTTAAGGCTTTAGAAATAAAGAATCATGACAATATCAATAGAAATAAAACAACAAGAATACGGAGCTACTTTGAGTAAACTACATTCATTTCAGCTGGAAATTTTACCTGTAGGTAAAATACTAAGGTTAAAAATCCAAATTTGAGAGTCAATTACTTAAAGTTGACTGATGAAACCAACAAACTGAATGTTGACAGAAAAGCAGAGAGTCAAGGACAAAACCCATGAGGCCAGGGAGTAAGAGCAGGTACTTTCAAGCCTCCTCCAAGATTGAAAGAAGGAGAGGCCAACCAAAGGATAGAAATTAAGTAAGCAAAAATATAACAGGGGCCTGGCAGAGTCATAGATGTCAGTAGGAAAGAAAAGATATTAGTGTCACAGGATCCTTTGGGTATTGCTTTGCCAACCAGAAACCTCTGTGGCCAGTGCTGCTTCTACTTGGGTTTTGCTTGTGCCAGCTGAGCTCATTCCATCCACTTGGACCGCCGGCTGCACTCAGCTCACACTACTGGCCTGGATCCCACACCTGCCAAGGATGAGCCAGGCACGGAGCAGCAAGCGGTTTATGAGCGAGCAAGTGCAGGATACGTCCACTGCACACAGCCAGGCGCACCAGCTGCAACAGGACAGGCAGCTCCGGGCACCAGCACAGGCACCAGCTCTGTGCAAGACTGAACCTGGACCACATGTACCACAAGTGGCTTCTGTAGCGTCTGGACAGGTAGGACGCAATGGCACCAGAAAGCTCAGAGACACCAGGAACCACAGAGTCCCAAAATGGGTGTTACAGAGTGTCACAGCCCTGGCTCAGGGGGTTCCAATATCTGGGCTCCTAGAAGTACCACAGCTCTTCTCTCTTTCTCATCACACACAATGTGGCGATCAGGGAGCATGTTTCCGCCGTGTTTGTGTTATATCTCTTTTAGTCCCACCATTCAGTGGGTCCCAAGTTCTTGTCCCTTGTCCAGAAATAATGAGATATGCAGAAAACTAGGGGATGAGTGAGGCAGAGAGGAGCTTCATTGAGCAACAGAATAGCTCTCAGGAGACCCAAAGTGGGTAGGTCCTTTCTGTAGGCAGGTTGTCCTAATGTATGTCTAACTCTCAGCAGGGAGGAGACCTGTAGTGGGTAGCTCCTTCCACAGGCAATTTGTCCTGACGAGCATCCAGCTCTCAGTAAAGAAGACTCGTAGTGGGTAGTTCTTTTTTGCAAGCAGGTCATCTGGATGAGTGTGTGAGTCTGGCTAAGCCTGGGGTTTTTTTGTGCTCAGAATCAAAGAACTGTATACTGACTGGTCCATGAACAGCCACAAGTGGGCCTGGAAAAAGCACCATCCAATTGGCCAAATGGTTATCAACGAAGTTCTCACTCGGGCACAGACATCAACTGGAACTGAGAGCCCAGCACCCAGGCTTCAGGCCATCCCTGGCCTGAGGTGAGGTTTTACTGGGGACCCACCACTTTCTGCCTAGGAACCTGTCTGCCTTTAACATGCCATCGATAGCACCCAAACTGTCTGTGCCAAGAGGTGCCTGCAGGCCAGTGCCAAGCCACCCTCAGCCCCTGCGGCACCCCCTCCCATGCTCATCAGTACCTAAAGTCTAGAGGGGACCACAGTGGCAAGGGGCTGGCATGTCAGCACCACCGTGAGCACACACATACCTGGCTGGGTTGCAACAGTACCTGGGCTTGACCACAACTTTGCTCCACCCTAGAGTGGGCGCCAGGAGCAGGAAGGGGCCAAGGAGTGAGAGCAGGCACTTTCAAACCTTTAGGGCCAGGGGGCTTCCTGGGTCCCCAAGAGTGCAGGGATGTCTGGGTCCAGAGCCACAGTCGGGCAACAGCAGATGCACCAAGGAGCACAAGGCTCCCGCCTGTTCCCAGCCCTTGCCGGCTCTACAGAGTGCACAGCCCCAGCTGGTACAGCCCTGGCCACACTTTCTCAGCCACAGCTGGCATCCCCACAGCAGCTGCTCCAGATGGGTTGCTGCCGCCATCATTAGCAATGTCAAAAGTCAGAGGAAAATGTAAAAATTGCAAAAATCTCATAATCAAGCTATACTTCAAAAACTCCTACTGACAATAGTGAAAAAAAATTTTAAGAAAAAACAAAAATTTAAACATATCACCAACAAATAAAGGAGTACAACCTTATGCCATAAATTTCACACCATAGTTTTAGTGAGTCCAATACCACCCCAACCAGTCCAGAAGATATTCTGGCAAAGAAAAGTTAATAAAATCCTGAGAATTCACAATAGATCCTCCAATATGAAAAGAAGCAGGCAGAGTGAATAGACCAAACTAGGGAAAGTCAAGCAAATATCTAAAGATAGGGTAGGGATTTAGAAAACACAGGGAGGACAGCACAGAATTATAATTTTCCAGAGCTCTTTGATGAACTTCTGAATGAAATTTAAGTCCAGGAGTACAGGATGAACTCTTTTAAATGTGAATAAATCTCAGGGCCTCCAACAATGCCAAACTCAACCCCAGCTGGTATGTCCCCACTCATTTACCTCCACACTCACATGCCACAGAAATTGAAATTAGAAGGAAAATCCAGCTTGTTGTCCAGACAAGATGGCATAGACCATTTTTCCCATTCCTCCCCACTAAATACAAATATAAACAGACAATGCAAGTGATAACCAAAGAACTCTGGAAGGTGGAAAGAAGAAGGCAAACTCTTTCGAAACCCTACAACTAGAAGAACAACACAGAGGCAGGATGTCTTATGCCTACCTCACCCAAGTGAAGAAGGCCACCCACACATGGTTTTTCTCAGCCACAGCCTAGTAGCAGAAGGCAGCCCACGTAAGTTAATTCCTCCCAGAATAGAATAGGTGTCCCTCTGACAATATCAAGGAAGCCAGACACCACCAGCAGGAGAGATTAATTAGGAACCTCAACAAAAACAAATAGCTAGGGAAACACTCTCCTTCCCTGTGAGACCTGAGACTCCCCACGTTTTTTTCCAGTGTTTTTGTTTTTTAATTTCTAAAGCTCTGCCATAAACTTCTAGTGGGTGCCCATGTCATTTGCCACACTCACACCAGGTTGTCTGTGTAGCCAGCAAACAAAATCTGACCATCAACAGACCAGGCCAGGGAGGTACACTGGGGCAGTTCTGCCATGCTGCCAGTACTGAAAACTACTTGCTTCAGTTCACCTATGATGATATTTACCACTAAGTCCCCAGTCTTGATGCTGGGGCCCATGGCAGCACAGAGCCAGTAGCAGTTGGGGCTGAAGCACAGGGTGTTGATGATGAAGCTCCCACCATCTAGCATGTAAAGGTACTTGCTTTCATTGAGATCCCATAGCATGGCCTGGCCATCTTTGCCTCCAGATGCACAGGGGGATCCATCTGGAGATAGTCACAGTGTTCAGATAACCTGCGGCCAGTGTGGTTAGTCTTCAGCTTGCAGTTAGCCAACTGCATAATTTGACCAGCTTCTCCCAGCTACAGGAAGACAGTGACAGGGTTGCTGCTGTTAGGCGAGAAGTGAACACAAGATATCCACTCTGTGGTTCTCATACTAAACAGTGTATCTGATACATAACTTGATGGTTTTAGCTCACAATCCACAGACATTCTGCTGGTTGTCACGGGAGGCCACTTTCAGCATGCCCTTGGTACAGCCCACAAATCGTCTCATGGTGATGTCCACTGTGAGATCCCAGAGGCACAGCGTTCTAGCCAAG